TGGAGGTGTCGTGCGGGGCCGGCGGTGCGCTGCGTGTACGCCCCGCTGCTGAGAGCGAGTGGCTTACATGCGGTGCGGGCAGCCGTGTGTCTGCATGTGGGAAGTACGCAGACCTCTGCCGCCAGCGTATCGCAAGAACAGCAGCCACAAAAAGAATAAAGACAGCAATCACTGCTGACGACGAAGGGGAAAATCCAGCAGTAAAGCATTACGCTGGTTATGGTACCTGGGAAGATTTTCTTGCAACAGCCGACAATAATAGGAAGTGTGAAAACGGCACTGGTAAGACTAGTAGTGGAATTGATTGTTGGGCATGGAATACATATGGGAAGGAAAATATTACGTCGCCAGCACCTGCACACGAGAATAGTGCAAATGCAAGACTTACGTCCGAGCACCCCGAAACTGTTTCTGAAGTTCTGCGTCCCCCTGTTCCTGGCAAAAGAGAAGGTGCAATGATAGAGAATGAACGTCAACTACCAGGATCGAATACGGAAGAAAGAAAAGGAACAGCGGCGAGTGACAGAACAGTCTTACCAACACCAACAGTTACAAACACGCAAAGCCAAACACCGGGGACTACTCCAGGTACACAAGGTGATCAAGGAGCATCAGGCAACACAACAGCTAACAGTACACCTGTCACCTCTACTCCCACCCAGCAGTCTCCAGAGAGCGCCAACCAATCTCATGAAAATGGTGATGTGACTGCAGCATCAGATTCACACGAAACCAATTCCACTACTCCACAGAGCCCCGAGAGCAATGTCAGTGAAGCATTAACCACCACTCCATCTCCTGTTCCTGTACCCAATTCAGATATCAACACAATTGCTCCCACTGTACTGAAGAAGACTAATACTGACAGCAGTGTCAGTCCAGTGTGGATGCGCACTGTAGCACCGCTGTTGATTGTGGCTGTGTTGTTCTCCGCTACCGTGTACTGAACAGTGGGACTCATCTGAGGACAAAAAATAATAATGGTAATACTAACATAACCATAATTGCGTACATCCACTCCACGGGTGAATAAACTAATAATCTGTTTACCAGCTTTCTTTTTCAATTCGAGTTTTTTTCCTTTTTCTTTTGTTTTTATGTGTGTGTGTTCTTTATTCTATTAATTCCATTACTTGCTTTTCCCGTTGTGTGTGCAGAAAACTGGGCTGTTCTGCTCACTGACGGTACACATTTCTTGCTAGTACACCCAGATGTGTGCGTGTACAGTAATTTAATGCTTAAACTGGGGCCATGGAGTACTGTGTGTGTGTGTGTGTGTGCAGTAATTTCATACATAAACTAGAGCCATGGGGTGTTGTGTGTATGCTTGTTTGGCTCTCTCTCTTATTTGGGTATTGTGTGGGGTGTTCTCTTTTTTTTTCGATTAATGGGTACATATTATTATAATACAGGAGGGATAGTCCTTTTTGTTGCTTATTCTGTAGTTGTTACTGCTTCTCTCTCTTTTCCACTGTGAGTATTTGTTGTACTGGTGTTTGTTTGTTTCTATCATTATTATTTCCTTCTTCTGTTCCTCTTCCTTGTATGAGTCCATTGAAGTAAAAAACAATGACAAAGGCTGTAATGGTGAGGTTCTACCTGCTCTGTTTATTAACTCTTGCACTCTGTTATGGTTGTGGTTTAGTATGGGCTGATAGTCCTAAAGCTTCAAATGCCCTTATTAAACCTTCTACTGTTGGTGTTCCTTCTCTTGTTCATCGTGCCATTCCTGCGATTCTTCTCACTCCTTGTTGTGATGAAGATGAGTGGTTGGGTGAAGAAGTTGAAGAAAACAAGGGTGTTCCTAACGATACTCGGACTTCAGAATCTTTGAGTAGTAGTACATCCATTAATACTGGTCTCTCAGGTAGTGGACTTGGGCCTAAAGAACTAGAGAGAGCAGAAGAAAACAGACAACTCGGAGGGGATGTGGGTCACAATCAACAAACAAATGATATCAACCCATCAGTTAATTCAAGGGTAAATGGGCAAGTGGGAACTACTATTCCAGCCATATCGCCTTCTGTAGTGGGAGGTCAACAACTTTTTCCTTCACCAGAGCCAACTCCAGCTGGACCAAAAGTATCCAGTGAACACTCAAGTACAGAACGAACTGAAGATTCATCAACTAAAGACGATCATGCTCTTCAACATGCAATGAAATCACCTGAGAAACAACATGAAGGCACAAATACTCACGATAAACAAGGCGGAAAGACCACAGATACATCAATGCCAGAACCTTCTGTCGGGCAAGAGACTTCTGTCACTGCACCTCAGAATACACCTGAGGAATCTTCCAGCAAATCAGCAACACCTAATGCTAACGAATCTGGGGATGCACAGAGTGAATCAACAAGTACCCAAGAAGGTACTGCAGATAATACAGATACAGCCACCACAACCTCAACCACCACCACCACCACAACAACAACAACACTTCCTCCTGAACTCACAAACAACAAGAAGAGTGATGCAGACAGCAGCAGCAGTATCAGCAGTTCTGTGTGGGTGCGTGTACCACTACTGATTGTGGTTACACTGGCCTGTATTCTTGTATGCTGATTGTGGTCATGGTGTGGTGTGGTGTGACTCAGGTCATCCTTTGTTTTCTTTTTCTTTTTTGCATGCATCCCTACAGCCTAACTAATCTTCTACCTATTTGGATTATATTCTTCTTTTTTTTTTGTTTCTTAATGTTAATGTGTTTTGTGTGTGTTTTTGCTTTCTCTGTGTTTATCCTATAATTATTATTGCTACTCCATTGTGTGTGTGTGTGTTCTTGAAGACTCTCTCTCTGTGTGTGCCTGGGCTTGCACTGTGATGATGATGAACTGGTTTTTTTTGTAGTGGGAAAAGGAAATAATAATAACAGATGAATTTGTATTTATAATTGCGTTTATATACATATATAGACTTACACCCATAGTTGGTGTATTTCTATGTTTACTGTGTAAGTTGGGCTAATGGTTAATATGTGTTTGTTTGCTTGATGGTTTGTTGGGACATTCTATGCTGTACTGCGGGAGTCTGTGATGATATGGATGTCCTTTTGTTTCTACCTTTACTGTTTTTAATTCTCTGTAT